CTTTAGATTTTGCTCTATAAGGGTACTTGATGGCGCACGCTCACATCGGCACATGAGGTGCCCCTCGTCCACCCTTGCATGCACCCTCACATCAGCACATGAGGTGCCCCCCTTCCACCCTTACGTGCACGCTCACATCGGCACGTGAGGTTGCCCCTCATCCGAGTACGGGGCAAGCATCCGAGTATGGTTCAAAGCTCGTGGCTTGTTATCTCTTTGTGAGCCTAGCTCGTATGGGGCTCCAATTATTGTGAGCCTAGCTCGTAGGGGAATCCAACGGTCATCTAGCTGTTGATGCGTGTAGGATATCTAATGATCTTCTAGCTGATGATTTGTGAGCCTAGCTCGTAGGGCGCTCCAACGGTCATCTAGCCGTTGATGTGTGTGGGACATCCAATGGTCTTCTAGCTGATGAGATGGAGCTTGTAATAGCAGGCATCAAGTGCATGTAACTTGTAGTTGTTGGGGTGCATGTAACTTGCAGTTGAAGAGTGGTACATGTAACCACCACAACACTAAATGAGTAGCTCTTGGTGCTCTAAAACAAGGGTCCTCCTACCCATACGAGTTAGAACCTTTTGAGCACACTTTAGATTCTACTCTATAACAAGGGTCCTCCTATCCATACAAGCTAGAACCTTTTGAGCACACTTTAGATTCTCTCAACATACAATTCCCTGCAATTCTAGCATGCAAATCAGTGGGCTAATTGTCGCTCTCTCTACTCGATTTTGTCTCTTTCTCTCTCTAAACTATCAAGACTCTGATGTCTATTGTATGGGTTCCAAGCTCCAGTACATAGAGCTTAGGAACATTGCAAAAGACCTCTACATTTTCTTGTATCTCAAGGACGAGTTACCCTTCTTATACACATCAAAAACTCAATTGAAGGGGGGTAAATATCGTCTTAAGATATCACTCCTGAGTACCCCGAAAACAATAAGATTTCGAGATCCTATTTTTGAAAATTGTACCATTTTTGCTCCCATGTCACCCAACCAAACTCCAACAGGTTTTAGGGGGGAACCATGCCAGGATTCACACCATCTCAGAACCAGTTCAGTCTGGACTGATGTCCATCGGGATTGACTATCCGAATAGGAAATTGCAAGGTCTAAAAGTGAGTAAAACAAGGACAAAAATTTCAATTTATGATGTGACCTTTTCTTTTTTAAAAGTAAAACCCACTCGACATCCTAAAACTGATGAAGGTTAAAGGAAATATGAATACCAATTTCTACAATGGACTTCTGGACTTCTGGAAAATCTAATGCGGTAAAAATTTGGAGTGAAAGCGACCGACATTGATGGATGGATCAGGCTTGCTCCAATTATTCAAGAGAAGGAAAAAATATTTTTAATGTAAGTTTAAGAAAATCTTATCATAAGCCTTTTATAATAATAACATGACGCCTATGTTTTATTTCCTTAAAAATAATGTTTAAAAACATGGTTCAATGATCTATATCGCCCTTCCAAATCGATCCAGATCAGCAGATCAGCCGTTCGGCCTAGTGATCCGGTGAACAAAAAATTAGGGAATAAACAAATTTTAAATAATAAAGTGGGTTTTTCTTCCTTTATAACTCTCCACTCTCTCAATGGAATTTTCTACTTACCATTAAAAAAAAAAAGTGGGATCGGTTACCTGATCGAAGTAACTGGTTCATGGCGTAAACTGGCTGATTCCCGTTATTTAGCAGGTTTGGTTCGTTTGACCGATTCCTGATCTAGATCGGCCAATTCGAATCCAAATCACCTATTTTAAAAAATTTTAAAAATTTTGTTTAGAGAGTAGTTTTTTTTTCTTGGGCAAGTTTTATGTGTTTCCCCTACCACATAAAACTTTTATACTTTCCCTTATTCTACCGTCCAATTTGAATGGAGGGCTAAGATTGCCCCCCAATCACAATGTCACGTCTCTGCACTATTTTATTTTTAATTTGTTTTATATAAACTATTTTGATACCAAATTTTGTACATCCAATCCTTTATTAAACTCGCACAAGCAAAAAGTATAAAAAACATATTTCTAATAAAATAAAATAACCAAAATACCCCTTGAAACTTTCAAGGGGTATTTTGATCATTATATTTTATTGAAAAATTATTTTAAATATTTTTTATAGGTGTGCCTCAATGAAAAAAATTTCATATTCATACAATTTGTATAAAGAAAAAAAAACTAAAAATAAAATATTTTGAGATATCAATTCTAAAATCAAACGGTGAATAGAAAATTGGACTGCTAGATTGTAAGAAAAGGATAAATCTTTTTATGCTCCGAGGAAAATACAAAAACCTTTCTCTTTTTTTCCCCTCCTCAAAGAATTTCCTTTAACCAAAGTATTTCAGGCTATGCCGTACTACAGTCCGTGTGGTTAACAAGACGTCGAACAAATAATGCTAAGAGAGAGAGAATTAATGGCGAAAGGCACTTATCTTAATGGGGAGAGAGAGAGAGATAGAAGAATATGAGTTGAGCATGGGAGAGAGTGAAAATATGGTTACCATATGGACATTCCGTCGACCGATACTTCAGGGTTCTTAAGATATCCAGCAAAAAGAATTAGCACCATGAAATACCATACCTCCAAACTATAAGAAAAAAGAAAAAAAAAAAAGTCAAATAAAAAGTAAGGGAAAAGTTTATATAGAAACGAGGCTCTAAACAATCAAAGGGAAAAGTTTATATAGAAACGAGGCTCTAAACAATCAAATTACAGCTTACCTAAAAAATTTCACTAGAAGAGGTTGTTTTGATGTCCAAATATCCTCAAATTGATCATCTCAAAAAAAAAAAGGATTTTAAGGTTTGAAAATAGTGTATTTTATAACGCATTTTTTTATTGTTAATTTTTCAAGATTTTCAAATTTTTGTCGATCTGTCGATGTACACTATTTTTTAAGCTTTAAACTTTATAAATAAAGATCAAAATAAATTTTAAGGCTATCATAGATATTTTCAGTATGGAAACCATATTTCTCAATACTATATGGAGGTATGCTCTAATTTGATTGTTTAGAGTGATTTCGGTACTAACCCTAATATTTTAGGCAAAATACAAATTACTATGTTTATAGGCAGGAATAACAAAGAAGGTTAGTCATCACACCTTTTCTTTTTCTTTTTTCAAAATTGCCCTCCGTCAACCCAAATTTTGAGGTTTTTGTTTAAGTTTTGTTTTAGTTTTTTCGTCAGTAGGGCAGTGCTTCATGCTTTAAGGCGATGGCTTACTAATGAAAAAACTAAAAACAAAGATTAAAATTCAAATTCAAATTGACCGAGAGGCAATTTTGAAAAAAAATAAAAACAAAAAAGGTACACCAATCTTCTTTGTGATTTCCACCTAAAAATAAAACATTTTGTATTTTACCTAAAATTTTAAGGTCCGCACATAAATCACTCAATGAGTAGTTAACATTCTCTCTCGTTGAATAAACACACTCTCTCCCTCCCCGCTTACCACAACATAACTGCAGATGCTAGGGAGAGCCTAACAAAACCCCACAGATTTTGAAATGCCTTCCATGAAAACCCACTCCAAGCCCTTCCACAACTCCCACAAAAAATATAAATCAGCTGAGCCACCACTATGAACCACCATGAGCCATTCAGCACCACTGCAGCTCCAACCATGCCCCAATTCAACTTGATCATCACCAACCAACTGAAGAAAGTGTGCAGCAATAGAGCAATACCGGCAAAGACAGTCATAGACATCATCCTGCTCTGTGCTTGTAAGAATTTCTGAATAGGAAAATACACAGCATATGCAAAGAGTTGGGGTATCATGTATAGGGAAAATAATCCTGCTGCATGAGCTATACTGTGGTCTTGTCCAATGAGAATGAAGAATGGAGTGGAAAAGACATAGAATATGGAGAGTATGAGAGCAGTTATGATGAGGATGACCCATGATCTTTGCATGTATATGCCTAGCATGTCCAATTGCCCAGCACCATAGGCTTGCCCACATAGTGTCTCTAGTGCACTTCCCATGCCAAGCTGCAAAAGTTCAAATGTTCAATAGCATTAGGAAATTAAGATACCATTTTTGCTAGTATGATATAGTTATATTAGAGGTACTAGGAAGAAGTAATGTGAATGTGAATAAACAACTTGCAAGGAGTTCCAAGAAATCAAGGCATAAGAGATTTCCAAGAATTCAAGACTTTTTTGTTTTTTTTCCCCTTCTTTATGGTCAGAGTTTTCCTTATTATAATTGGGAAGAAATAGACATTTCAAGAGGAGAAAATGTATCATTAGTTAGTCAGTCCATAAAACTCAAGCATTACTACTATGTACATGTATTTAAGTCATTTATCAGCATCATCTAGCACTATCCCAATCATTTAAGGTTGGCAATACGAATCTCATTTTATTATTCTACTCTCTATCAACAGATATATACTCAGTCAGACTATAAGACACCATATCTCTTCACACTACTTTCAACCATATCATTTCGAATATTCTCAATGTCGGTTGCACTTCCTTGGTGCATTTAAATATGGCAAATGATATTATATGTTCAGTTTAGCTTCCCCTACGTTCACTCCCTTGAGCAAACCTATTTAGAAATATTTAGCACCCCAGATTCCAACCCTTAAAGAAAAAACAACAAATACATAAAATTAAAAAAAGAAAAAGAAAAAAACAGATGTAGGTCCCACTTTTCTATATTTATTTCATTGGAAAGCCACCCAAAGAAAAAAGAACATTCATGTCTCCATACAACTAATAGCATTTTATGAGGAAGCGATTTTATATCTTGCAAGGTATAGAATCAAATCCTCAAAAATTAATTTCTCACCGAGAGAGAGATTTCCGATAAACCCTGCCTCCGGCCTTTAGTGTTGGGTGTCCCGTCCCATTGTGGGAGGGGCAACAATGGAATTCGTCTTAGTTAGAAGGGCAGTTTTGAAAGGTCAAAAAATTGATTTATTGCCCAAGTCATCATCCCACACAATAGGATCTCACATGAATGTTTTGTTATGAGAAATTTTTTATTTTTATCTCTTCTAAAATGCGATAGCGACGAGCCATTGTTTAGGAGGTTATGAGATAGTACTTCCATAATAGTCATTATCACATTGCCCATATAGAAAAGCAAAATGTGGGGAGAGCTTTTGGGGTTGACTTTACATGGTGTATTAGAAAAATACAATAAGCCTCATTTTGTATAGAAGAAGAATAAGAGTGAGAAAGTCACCTTTTTTTTTAAAAGAATAAGAAGAGATAGAAAGTTACCCTTCTCTTAAAAAGAAGAAGAAAGAAAAAGAGAGAACCTGTTTTTTTAGAAAGTGAAAGCCTCTAAAATAAAAAGAAGAAGCATTTGATAGAGAAAACCCTCTAGAAGAAATCAGATAGCCCAAGAATGCTTGTTATTTTGGAAGAATTTTGTAATCAATATTTTAGTAATAGATCTTTATCTTTCTCCTGTTGACGTAGTCTGAAAATGTAAACTACGTAATTCTCGGTACCAATAAGTTATTTATTTTATTTGTTTTATTGCTTATTTTTCTACTCATACACACATCAATTTTGGCATATTTTCGTGTTTCATATATCGGGTTCTACTACACACATCCGGTTTTGTGTGAGAGGTTCAACTGGGTGAGTTCAACCTGTACTACTTGAAACTAATCACAACAAAAGCTCTGGTTTATAACACCAAAACATTTGAACTAGGGTACTTGCTCTAACTTAAGAGTATCTTTTGTTGGGCAGTTCAGTAAAGACCCCATCATGGTCCCCTAGGATCTGGTGGGATTCCCATAAGGGAAAGCACAATCACAGCTTTATAAAGTTGCACCTCAAAATCTCTCATAAAAAGTTGGTCTTGGCCTTAGAAACTTGCATTTCAATTATCTCTACCTCCACCGTTATAAATATGAAAAAACCATTTAAAAATCAGTATGTCTCGAAATACATCTTTTGAACAAGAAAATATTTTATATAAGGTACCAAGTTAAGTGCGCTTAAAAAATCCTTTAGAAGAGAGTATTTCAAATTGGGAAATCCTTCAAGTAATCATCTCGACATCGAGATGTATAGATATGAAGAAAAAAACAAGTCTAAGTTTTTATTATAAGGAAAAAGTTTATATAAAGATACAATCGTAATTGTACAAGTAAGGTTGCATTAATCAACATCATCTATTTTATTAGAATAATGTAGATTTGATATTATCTCAAAAGATGTGCCACCTTTCTACTCAACTTTACAGGCATGTCAAATCTACACCGATCAACTGAAATGAATGATGTAGAACACCGCAATTTCACTTCTATAATTAGAATTGCATCCTTATACAAACCGCACCTTTATTATAATGCATCTTATAATAAGTTATTTGGACTGTTTATTTTCAAGATTTCAAGTGTTTGTAAATCGGTTTCTTCTCTCTCATTTTGTTTTGATATCCTTGATCTCCAGTATCCATAGAATGAGTGTAACTGATATGAAGATGTTAAGATGGATGAGTAGCAAGAGATGATGAGATAAAATTGAAAATGTATATATTTGGAAGAATTTAGGTGTGGTACCCATAAGAGATGAGAGAAAGTAAACTTCAGTGGGATGGCTATGTGCAGTGCATGCTCATGTTAGAAGGTGCGAGTTAGTTCAAGTGGAAGGCTAAAAAAAAACGAGGGATAGGCAGAAAATGATATGGTTGGAAGTAGTGAGAAAAGATATGGGGACCTATGGCCTCATTGAAGATATGACACTTAATAGAGTAGAATGACAAACCAAAATTTGTATGGCCGACGTCAATTAGTTGGGACAATGCTCTGATGATGATGATCATCCTCGTCCTCCTCTATTTTTTAAGTTTTAAATTTTATAATTAGGGATTAGAATAGATTTTCGAGCTATCATAATGTTTTTGACACATAAACTACATCTCTAGACTAAATTTAAGGGTACGCCTTCTCCCATAAATAAACCTAGTTGAACAAACAATTCATTCGAAATCTTCATGGCTGTACCAAAATTGAAATACGGTATTTATGGAGGTTCATATAAATCTTCATGGCTGTACCAAAATTGAAATACGGTATTTTTGGAGCTTCATATCAAGGACAAAAATAGATTGCATGCAATTATGGATCTAGAAACCTAGGGCTGATAATAGGTCAGATCGGGTCTGGCTCCACTGGAACATGGATTCGGATCCAAGAAATATACATGAGATCAGAATCTAAATCCAGATCCAAATATTCAGTTCTAGATCAGACATGAGATTTAGATCTGGATCAAGACCCTATTAGATCCAAAAAAAGTATTTTATATATTATTTTATATTTATAAAAGAATATAATAATAAAAAATACAATATATATATATATTATTTTAATAATTGAATTAGATCCAGATCCCAATCCAAATTTTAGATCCGAATCCAACTTCAAGGAACCAAATCTTGGATCGTTTCATATCCAAACCCTGTAACTATCAACTGAGCGAAGCATCCTATATCTATCAACTGAACGAAGCACCCAATATCTAACTTCAAAATAGAAAGGATCACTTGTCTCAACAAATATCCACCGTAAATTCCCAAAACCCGTGGAGATGATTGATGCACGCTGGATGGGGCCCTCATGTGGGTCCCACATGATTGAGATGTGAGCGTCATGTTGACAACGGTGAAACCACATGTGGGCTCTTATACGCAGTGAGTAACATTAATAACGATCCACGTGGTTTAAGGTGATGTTCAGAAGTAGGAAAACGATCCACGTGGTTTAGTGTGATGTTCAGAAGTAGGATACTTTACAAATCAGTCCAAGGCGCTGCTCTTTAGTCGGGATGGCGTAAACTATGCTCCCGCGGGAGCAAACTGGATTGATACTCCCACAAGCAAAAGAGACTAAGAAGGGTTAGCTATTTGAAATTTAGAGATTATATGTCATTAAAATTGAATTACAAATCCATCTTAAAGATAGACTTTTAATAGGAGATTAATTTTTAAATGGACTTATTGAAACCATGTCCTGAAAATAAGGGTCCACTGCATCTAAATTATTATTTTTAAAATATAAATTTAAATTTTAAGTTATTTAAATCTTCCATGAATTGGACAGTCCATGTTTACTCTTGGTATGCTATTTAGTTTAAGCACATACAGTGTAAAATATGGAGTTATTTTTTATGTAGTCACTAGGTTGAAGATGTTACATCCTCAACATTAAAGATCTTAAAATACTCTAGATGAGATTTTATTTGATGGAGTAAATAGTATGATCCTGAGGAAACATGAAAGTTTTATACTTTAATGGGTGTAGCGAAGGATCTGTCGGAGTAGATTAAGTAAATATTAAAAAATAAAAAAAAAACAATTTA